AATAAAAGAAAACATGGTGAGAAGGCAGAACGGAAACTTTACTTAGATCCAACAAATTGCTGCAGTGGTAAGTCTGGCTCATTTGGAATTAATGGGGAAAAGAGGTCCTACTACAGAGTCACTAATCAAAGTATGCGGGAAGAAACTAGTAAGAAACATCTTTAAAACTAAAATTGAGCATCCTCATAGAGTTGGGAGCTTTGAAAAAAATATTCTTAAATCAAGTATTTTTAATCTAAATCAATGTGATATTTGGTGTTTTTCTCTAATTTGAGACATCTTCCCTTTTGCCTGAGTTACTACAATTACCTCCTAACTGATCTCCCGCTGCTGCCCTAATTTTCCTGTGGGATCCTTTTAAAAGGCAGATGATGACCTCCTCTGCTCAGAACCCTCCAATGGTTTCCCATCTTGCTCAGAGTGAAAGCCCAAGTCTTTGCCATGGCTGACACAGTCCTGTCCCGTTTGGCTCCATATGACCTCATCTCCTACAGCTCCCTCTTTGGGCAATCTGCTCCAGCCATGCTGGCATCCTTGTTGTTCCTCCAATACTCTAGGCACAGTTCCTTTCTCAGGGAGAGGGAATTTTCATAGGGTAGAGACTCTCCCCCAACAGCAAACACTGCAGCTTCCTACCCTATTTAGTTTTCCTCCATTCACTTATCACCATCTAACACAATTTCATTTATTTATTTTGTTTTATCTTTCACCACAAGAATATAAGCTCCAAGAGGGCTTATATTGGGTCTGTTTGCTCATTGCATGTCCCTGGTGCTTAAAGCAGGATTTGAAACACAGCTGCTGCTTAATTAACATTTGCTGAGATATCATTTCTGTCTATATTTTGTCAGATAAGCAACTACCTTTATTTTAGGTATGTATGTACACCTCATTATTACTCCTTATATGAGCATGGAAGTGTTGCTTTTGAAATTCTTGCTTGGTATTTTCATATAGTGTTGACTAAGCTGAGGATTGTCACAGAAGTGGTCTCTATCTGGAAAGACCTAGATTAGAAAGAGAAGATGCTGTTGCCTCTTCCATTCTCCTTTTACTCTTCCCCACTCCCTAGCTTTCCTGTCTGCGTGAGTGCACTGCTGAAGCCCTAAGATATCGAACTGGATGTCCACTCTCTGTCCTCCATTTTGACTTGCTCTCCCCTTCTGGGTGATCACTATGTACCATCACCCAATTCCATAGACTGGGTCATGCCTCAGGTTTTCCTTTAGTTTAGTGAACTTAATTACATTCTGCCTTATTATCTTAAATCTCTGGGGAAGTAGGCACAAAAACAAACAGGATGCAGGTTCTGTGGACATTCACCTGCACTGATTTGCCTATGTGACAGTAGTGATTATAAAGACCATGGGAAACAAAGCATTTCAAATTATAGTCTACTTAAATATAAACATGTAACTATTCCTTCCTAGATGTACCAACCACCTAGCTAAAGAGTGTAAGGATAGTTTTTATGAGGCCAGTTTTCATCATATCTGCATGGATGAAGACTAGAAATTCGTTGTTTTCAAGTCATGCTTAGCATCCATGAATTAATTACTAGCATTTATAAACAGCTATGGATTCCTGAAGTATATGCGACTCTTCTTTTATCCACATTATGGCAAATAATGATTATAATAAACACTCTGCTTAAAAATCACAGGATTAAAGGCAATGAAAGATGTTATATGGGTACATCTGCTAGCAGAATGTATCCAAATCACCCAGTCTGTTTTTTTCCAAAACTTCGAGAGAAGAGACACAATAATTTTCTCTCTACATAGGTTGTTTGAAGATCAGAGATGTGGGAGGTTTTTTAAAAGTTTCACTCCGTAATCTAATTTAACTTCTTTTGAGATTAGTTTAAATATTTCCTTATTGTCCCACAGTTCTTTCTGGTTCTGCTTCTGAAAAGTAGAAGCCGGACAGAAAAGGCTGCTAAGAGGATAGAAATAGGAATAATAGGAATGAGCAGAGAGTAAAAGAGCAGGGTTGAAAGAAATCAGACAGAGGAAAATCAAGAAAAACTGTAAAAAGAATTCAATGTTTGTTAGCCTTTTATTTTTTGATTTATAAGACAATTGATCTGTTTTTTTTTCTCCAGGTATTCGTCACTTGCATACATAGTACAAACACACTCAGGAATGACTAAGACATGGATGGTTAACTGTAGGTTAACTCCAGAATGAACAAGTCCAGTTATCTAAAAATAAAATGTGTTAATTCTTAATATTATAATAAAAGCATGCAGCAATAAAAATTATGTCCATATAGAAAGTTCTAAGGGGAAAAGACAAAATCTCCTGCCTACTCCCCTGCCATGTCTAGTCCTTTTTAGCCGCTGTTAAAATTCCTTGAGTAACTTTCCTGCTGGAAAAATTAAATGCATCTCCCTGCATAGATAGATATGTGTGTGAATGTGTATGTGTGTGTGTTGGCAGGGTACAGGGGGTAGGATGGGAGATGTATATTTAAAATTTTATTCCACAGAATTAACATCATACCTATTTTATTTTTTTCTTCCTAAAATACACTATAATACATTTTAAAGATCCTTCTGTATGCTTACAGTCATGCAAGCTCTAGAAGTAAGGGGAATTTATCTTTTTAAGCATTGTTTTTCTTCACCAAAAACTTCTTAGGTACATGAAAGAATAAAGCAGCATATGCCAGATTAACTTCACTCTTTTGAACCAAAGTATAATATTAGATTGTTTTAACGTACCAGAAGTATCAGTCAACTACTGATAAACATTTAGAATGTTTTCAGATTTTGGCTATTACTGTGCAAACATTCTTGAACATATCTGTTAAATCTTATACATATGTATCTGTAAGTAAATCTAAGGTAATTACTTAGCCATGTAGTAGTTCAGTCAATTGCATTTCTAATTTTGATAGATATTGCCTAACGGGTTGCATCAATTTATGCTCTCACTTCAATACAACTTCTACTCTGGGGCAACTCACAAAACCTAAATGTTAGTGACTAAAACATATATTCCTAGAAATGATATATTCTTTCATCTATAGCCTTTTAACAGAAACTGTGTCAGATGAGATCTTGAAACACTAAAAATCCTCTCTCTGTGCTAAGCACTGGGGACATTCTTTTTCTCAAAGACAAAATACTTGTTCCTACTGGCTGGCTTTTTGGATCTTGGCCAAAATTCACGCTAACTGCTTCTTTTGTATATTCTAATAACAAAATATAATCCTATTCTTGAATTTTAATAAAAAGTTTAATATTTGCAGCTTTGTTAAATACAAATAATGATTCAAGAGCATGCAGATATCTTTGAGAAAGCTATTTGTATGAAGGATACAGATATCGGTCCTATAGAGGTGCTTGAAATCTATTTGGCTTTCACATGAATTCCGCTGTCTATTGGCATTAAAATAAGAAAAGTAACCTATAGGCAGAAAGAAGGATGTATTCCCATTAACATTCATGAGGGCTAAGCAGCCGAAGTCTTACATATCAAGTAGGGAATATGTCCTTTGTCTGCTGATGAGAAAATGTCTTAGTGATAAATGGTTACAGACAGGGGTGTCATGAGGGCAACAACACGCAGAACAACTCAGACAATCTTTTTTAAAAAGTATTCTCTTGCAGTTATTTTTGTGGCACTGGGAAGCACAGTGCCTATCCCTGCAAATAAAAGAAAACTATTGCAGTGCAAAACTCCTAACCTTTGAAGAGGCACTTCCCAGAAAACCAAAAACATACCCTTTGAAAAACAATTTAAAACCAAGCTTCAAAGGCTTTATCATATATAAATATTCAGACATTCTGAAAAGCACTGCTCTGCCCCTGCACCCCAGCTATTTGTGCCTAAAATGGATATTGTCGTAACAGCATAGTCGTCAAAGTGCAACGTCTCTCATGTCAACACTGAGAGACATCAGACTCATTAAAACGCTTTTCATTCATTAGGTTGGTGCAAAAGTAATTGCGAGTTTTGCCATTCAAAATAATACATTAATTCAAACACATTATTGTACACATTTAGTAAATTTGTGATAAAAAATCTTGTATGAAGTAATGAGTTTGTTATTTAACAAATTGATATCTCATAGAGCCCAAAGGTGACTACAAATGACTCAGTTAATTTTCAAACCAAAAGAAGTTAGATTACAATTTATTGACGCCCTTGACTCCTTGAGCCAGGGAAAGCATTTCCCGGGGACTGACTCTAGGTGGCTCACTTTCCTCACCTATAAACACAAAGGTTCAAGCAACACCCCCTCCCCTGGTTCCCGGTCCCCCAAGGGTTTCTCTCCAGTATTTTGCCTCTTCTGCAGCAGTCTAGAGTCTTCAGTATGAAAAGGGTAATAAGCATGCTGCAATTTTCTGAAATCGTGATGTCAACAGTGCTTTTGAGGTGTCCTTCCCCACCCTAAAGAAAATTCGAGATGCAGAGCAAGAAAACTATACAGGACAGCTCCCCTAAACATCCTCAGCCACGCCTCGGCCTCAGTGCGCCCCCAACAGTCTCTGCCAGCACCATGGACAAAGGCGTAGCCAGCAGGTCGACGGGGATCGCGGGCTCATTCCGCTGACTTGTCCAGCAGCTCTTTTCCGCGAGGAGTGAGGTGACCGAGGAGAAAGAAAGGAGTCAAGGGCGGGGCTGGGAATTGAACCCGCCCCCAGGCCCTGGCGGAGTCCCTGCGCTTGCGTGCGAGGCGTGGACCTGCGGTTGGACTCCCCTGTCCTCGGCTTGCCCTACGCCTCCTCCCCCGCCCCTTCCCACCTCCGCCCACTTGACGCGATGACGCACCGCAGGTTTGCGGACGTGGCGGCGGCGTACGGCTCGGAAGGCGGAGACGTTGGCGGCAGAGGCAGAGGCGGAGGCGGATCGGGTCAGCCAAAAGCCGATGCTAGGCTATGAACTTGCTCTGGACAGCGGCGGCGGCGGCTGAACTGATAGCAGTCTCCTCGCTACGTGCCCCCTGCTAACAGGACAGGTAAAGATGGTGGCAGGAGGTGAGGGTGGCCTGGTCCTGGCGGGCGGGGTTGGGCCCCAGCTGCGTTCTCACTGGAGAAGGCGCGGAGCCCTCGGCCACAGGTGTGGTGGGGGCAGCGGGGCGGCGCTCGGCCCGCGTGGAGGACACCCCCAAGGCAGGGAAGAACTTCCAGACCAGCCCCTCCAGGTCCCCTTGTCACACTGTCGGGGACACTGAGGCTCAGAGGAAGGATGCCTACCTGCTGGATAATCGGGGCAGCTCATTTCCCACCCAAACACTGCATTTCTCCCACAACTTTATGTTCGCATGAATCATTAGCTGACGACATCTTTTCATATCGTTCAAGTGTCATGCTGTGACAGAAGAATCTGAGACGTAATCCTCGCTGATAGCAGGGAAAGAAAAACTTGACGTGTGGAATATAGAGGGGAGGAAGTTAAGTTTTAAAAAACGAAATAGGCCCTGGCAGCGGATAAGGTGCCTTTGATTGTGTCCCGGTGCAGCTCTAGTTTGTGCCCTGTGACCCTCTTATTGCTCCCTGCTTAAAGAAGGTCAAGGCGAAAGTAGCCTTTCTACAGTACAAAGATGTTTGGGAAACCATTTTCAGTTACAGAGTGAGCTGATGAATGCTTTAACACTGTTTTGTGGCCTCTTGTAATCTAGCATGCAAGCTTGTTCCAGGTTTCTGAAGAGGGAGTTCTGCCTTTTTCCTGCACTAAGAGAATTAAGACAAGTGAATAGGATTGAGACAGATGACTTAAATATTATGTACTTTCTAATCTCTGAGTAGTTGAGTAGAGTGATTGCCTGGGTCAGTTTGTTCACTTCGGTTAGAGACACCGCCAGTTCTTGATCATTCAGAATACCCAGTTTTGTAATACGATAGTCAGCTGCCCCCGTTTCATTATAAAGGGGAGTGGAGGGATAGTGAGACAGGTGAAATTCTGACCTTTAAATTATTATTTAGAAATATATCGTGGAGAGAGGTTGATATAAATAAATATCTAAAATAGCTTTGGGGCATTGCTTAGTGATTTTCAGTTAGCTGTACTAAGCCAATTTTTGAAGTTGTAAGAACAAATTATTAGGGAGAAAGTGTCTGAAGGGACAACATAAGTAGGTCGGTATAGCCACATGTAAATTGCTGTATATTGAGTCTTAAATTTTTTGATTATGGATGCCTTTTGAGAATATGAAGTAATATTCTCCCCGGAAAAATATACCCATGTATAAAATTTGCCTGGAATCCACAGGATTCACAGACATTCCCTAGATTAAAGACACAATATTAAAAAAAAGACGAGGAGCTCGGCGTGGTGGCTCACGCCTGTTATCCCAGCACTTTGGGAGGCTGACGTGGGCAGATCATCAGGTCAGGAGTTCCAGACTAGTCTGGCCAACATGGTGAAACCCCATCTCTACTAAAAATAAAAAAATTAGCTGAGCATGGGGGTGGGTGCCTGCAATCACAGCTACTCTGGAGGCTGAGGCAGGAGAATCACTTGAATGCATGAGGCAGAGGTTGCAGTGACCCAAGGTCGCGCCATTGCACACCAGCCTGGGTGACGAGCGAGACTGCCATCTCAAAAAAAAAGAAAAAAGAAAAAAAAATGAGTGGAAATAAAACCATTATCCATGGAGGAAACAATGTGATCATGACTTCAAAACTGCCTTTGAGATATAAAATGTGATCATTTTCTTTAGTTTCATAGCTGTCAAGTTAGGAATCCTAGTTCTTGGTAATAAGTAATGTAGCACTTCAGGGAACAGTTGAAATAATCTACTTAACATATAGCTATTAGTTATCTGTGTTATCTTAATAGGAACTCGAGTTTTTAAAGCATTACAATATTGCCATTAGAAACTGGTTTTTAAGGGTTGGATTCAACTATATTAAATAGTTTCAAAACATTTTATGGTAAATACGTGCCTACATAGAGAGTACAGGTTGAGCTTTCCTTACCTGAAATGCTTGAGACCCGAAGTGTTTCAGATTTCTTTGGATTTTGGAATGTTTGCATATACATAATGAGATATATTGGGGATGGGACCCGTCTGAACACGAAATCTGTGTTTCATATTCACCTTATACACATAGCTGGAAGGTAATTTTATATAATTTGTGCACAAAAGTTTTTGTACCTGGAACCATAGCAGGCAAAGTGTCACTATTTCAGCCACACTTGTGGAAAATCTGTGGTGGTTTGGCATCACCAGCATTCCTAACTCTGAATTTATATGCTACTAATAGGCAATCATTTTGTTACACTTACGCGTAAGTACTTAACAGTAAAAAAATGCATCAACAGCATTCCTAACTCTGAATTTATATGCTACTAATAAGCAATCATTTTCTTACACTTACATGTAAGTACTTAACAGTAAAAAAAACAACAACAAAAAAAACTTTGACATACCATTAATACGGTGAAAAAAATAATGTGTTCAGGGTACCTAAGCACATTACCAGAATACCTGTACAGGTTTAGCATTCCTAATCTGAAATCTAAAATGTCAGGTGTGGAATTTTCCATTTGTGGCTTCATTTCACCCCTGTAATCCCAGCAGTTTGGGAGGCCAAGGCAGGTGGATCACCTGACGTTAAGAGCTCAAGACCAGCCTAGCCAACATGGTAAAATCCTGTATCTACTAAAAATATAAAAATTAGCCAGGCGTGGTGTTGGGCACCTGTAATCCCAGCTACTCGGTAGACTGAAGCAGGAGAATCACTTGAACCTGGGAGCCAGAGGTTGCAGTGAGCTGAGATTGCACCACTGCCCTCCAGCCTGGGTGACAGAGTGAGACTCCATCTCAAAAAATAAAAACCTTGAACCTAAACGTTTAAATAACTAAAACCGTTAAAACAAAAACAAAAGATTGTGTCCTGAATGTACGATGCATGCAAATCAGTTAGTTAGATCAGCTACATTCCAAAATTTTCTCTTTTTCTTTTTCCCCCTCCAGATTTTAACATTATGGCAGGGAGGCATCAGAATCGTAGTTTTCCTCTTCCAGGAGTTCAGTCGAGTGGTCAAGTACATGCATTCGGAAATTGTTCAGACAGTGATATGTTGGAGGAGGATGCTGAAGTGTATGAGCTTCGATCCAGAGGAAAAGAGAAAGTCCGAAGAAGTACATCAAGAGATAGACTTGATGACATTATCGTATTAACAAAAGATATACAAGAAGGAGATACATTAAATGCAATAGCTCTTCAGTACTGTTGTACGGTAAGTTTTAATGCAATCCAGATTAAATTATTTGTTTACCCATATTGAAATAAATTCCATGTCATTTTTTACCTTATTTATTCCTTTCTCCATTTTTTGCTCTTATTCTTCTTTGCATAGAAATCTGTGTCACATTTGTAGATGTTTACTTTTTAAAATTTTAAGCGAATACTTCAATTTCTGTGTATTTCCAAATCCACGAATTTCAGTGTTGAAAAACACTTAACTATTTTAACATCTTATTCAAATGGTAAGAAAATGTGGAAATATGTTGGGAAAAGCTTTTCTGTGCCCCAATTTCTTGAAATAATTACTTTAGCGTTTTCCTGTACCTTATTTTGTGCTCATAAGTATTTATTTATATGTACATACTTCGGGAGTTAGTCATCTGTTTTTAAAAGTGGTTTTATTATGCATATTATTCTGCAACTTGCATTTTTCATTATTTAGTGTATCATGGACACCCTTATGACCATCCCTCAAAGCCTTATCAAGCTAACTCATTATCTTAAATAGTTATATAATGTCCATATTATTGATGTTCCAATATTTTTAAGTCATTGCCCTATTAATTGATACTCAGGATTTTCTTGGTGTTTTACCTTGTGTGGCGAATATCATCACAACTATATCTTTAAATGGTGGTATTTTTATTTCTGTGGGATAAATCCCAAAAGTGGGATTGCTAGATAAGAAGAAAGGTGTTTTGTTTTTTTTTTTCCTTTTTTTGGAGATAGAGTCTCACTCTGTAGCCCAGGCTGGAGTGCAGTGACGCAGTCTTGGCTCACTTCACCCTCCGCCACCCAGGTCCGGGTTCAAGCAATTCTCCTGCCTCAGCCTCCCAAGTAGCTGGGATTACAGGCACGAGCCACCATGCCCAGCTAATTTTTCTTATTTTTTAGTAGAGATGGGGTTTCACCACGTTGGGCAGTCTGGTCTTGAATTCCTGACCTTGTGATCTGCCCGCCTTGACCTCCCAAAGCGCTGGGATTACAGGCGTGAGGCACCATGCCTGGCCGAAAGGTGTATTTTTAATTTTAATAGATACTGTACTTTATTTGGACCCATTTTCTATCTGTGTCATTATGTCCATCTTGAGGCCTTAGCAGTGTGTGTCTGTGTGTGTGTGTGTGTGTGTGTATTTTGTTTTGTTTTTTTGAGATGAAGTCTCACTCTGTCGTCCACGCTGGAGTGCAGTGGCGTGCTCTTGGTTCACTGCAACATTTGCCTCCCGGGTTCAAGCGATTCTCCTGCTTCAGTCTCCTGAGTAGCTGGGATTATAGGCGTGTGCCACCAGGCCCAGCTAGTTTTTGTATTTTTAGTAGAGATGAGGTTTCATGGTTTTTGGTTAGGCTGGTCTCGAACTTCTGACCTCGTGATCGACCCACCTCAGCTTCCCAAAGTGCTGGGATTACAGGTGTCAGCCACTGCGCCTGGCCAGCAGGATATTTTTATATCCTTCTAAGACCTCAAACTCATTGATATGGAAAATGGCTAGAACATTTGTTTTTGAACTTTTTGTTCTCATACTCCCAACAGAATTTTGAAATATATGTACTTTGTACCTGTACCTCCTTGCACATTTTTAAGCAAACTTCTTAAATTCTTCCTCATGACTTAAAATAGTTACAAAGGGTATAATTTTCAGAATGTTGTCAGTATTGACATTTAAAAATAAGACTTTTAGAGTGCTCTTTAAATGCATCCACAGAATTCTAAATACCACTTGGATTTGCTACCTGAAATCTGTATTTAACAAAAAAGTGTAAAGTGTGTGTATGTATGAGAGCTCTTTTATAATAGCATGAGATTTTATATCATTCCTTTTTCTCATTAATATTTTCATCTTCCTCCCAAATTTTTCGTGATATAAACTATTTTTATAATTGAAAAACCTTTTATTGACTACCTATAATACTTCTCTGCAATAGGACCACACATGTCTATAAGTTTATATTATATAAATATGTATATATATAAATTTATATTGCATTCTAAAAAAATTATGGTCATGAGGTTGTGTTTTTTCTACATTTGCAACTACTGCAATAATTCATATTTTTATTACAATTCACAATTCATCAAAACTATTACAAATTTTGATTTTAAAATTTAATAACATTTTATTAAAATGAATTTTTTGATGTGATTTAAGAGCTGGGTAGTTTTTTCCTCCTACCTTGCTCATGTATGGCAACACCAATTCCTGTCGTTATTAAATCAGAAAATACCTAAGTTTATTTCTAAATGCAAATAAACATGTGAGTTAATGTTTTGTAGAGAAATAAGACCATTGAGAAATAAATTACAGAATATGTCATAGAAGGTAGATAGTGGAATAAACTTTGAAATCAAAGACAAGGCTAAAAACATCAAGGTGCAGATCCAAGAGAAGAGTGTGATTCAGTAGTTTTATAAGAGAAAGACATTAGCTTTCTTTTAATGAACCTAAAAATTCTTTTAGGGAAATTTGACATACCATCTGAATAATTAAAAATAAGTCATATTTCTGGCTGGGTCCACTGGCTTACACCTGTAATCCCAGCACTTTGGGACGCTGAGGCAGGTGAATCACCTGTACTCTGGAGTTTGAGATCAACCTGGCCAACATTGTGAAACCCCATCTCTACTAAAAATACAAAAAAAATTAGCTAGGCGCGCTGGCACATTCCCATAATCCCAGCTACTCGGGAGTCTGAGGCAGGAGAATTGCTTGAACCTGGGAGGCGGAGGTTACAGTGAGCCGAGATCACACTACTGCACTCCAGCTTGGGCCACAGAGTGAGACTCCCATCTCAAAAATAAAAAGGTCATTTTTCCAGTGAGGTGCAAAGGAAATGTTTCAGTGGTGTCAAGATTTCAAGGAGGAAATATGGTAAACAACAAAGGGAATTTTCATAGGTATTTCAAAAATGAGTGGCACAGACTGTTTGGGATGAAGTGCTTTGAGACCCTGAGGAAAAGTTTGATCCATACAGTAAGAGAACACAATTGTAAAGTTTTAACAGGAGTGATACAGAATGGAAAAGTTTGATCTATACAGTAAGAGAACACAACTTAAGGATTTAATAGGAGTGATACAGAATAGCGGAGGGGCCTGCTGATGAATTGAAGGGAATCCAATAAAGAGATTACTGGAATAATAAAAATGATTGGGACTCAGACTAAAATTTTTGTGATAAGGATAGAAAAGAATTGTTTAAAAATGTATTGGGAAAAATCACAGGATATATCAGCTGATTGCTTATGTAAAATGAGAATGATGAAAGGGGCTTAGCTTAACATTAGAGGAGAGATGGCATTGGTCACTGTATTAGTCTGTGCTTGCATTGCTATAAAATACTTGAGACTGGGTAGTTTATAAGAAAAGAGATTTAACTGGCTCGTAGTTCTGCAGGTTATACAGAAAGCAGGCAGCATCTGCTTCTGGGGAGGCCTCAATTTTTACTCATGGTGGAAGGCAAAGCAAGAGCAGGCATTTTCACATGGCTGGAGCAGGAAGAACAGCAAGTGAGGGAGGAGGTTCCACACACTTTTAAACAACCAGATCTCACAAGAACTCAGGACAATATCAAGGGGGAAATCCATCCCCATGATCCAATCACCTGCCTAAGCCCCATCTGCAGCATTGGAGTTTACAAGATGAAATAAGATTTGAGTAGGGGGAGCCAAACCATATCAGCCACTATATTGGGAAAGGTGATAAACAGAATCAGTTAAGATAAGCAATGCTCCTTTTCGATGGTAGCATAAGCAACAGATAAAAATTATAAAAGGATTTATCATTTAAAAAATACCATAAGTAATTAGTGGTATATTCCACTTAGAAATAATCTTAAGAATTATTAAAAATATGTCAGTGATACAACTGATGAGAATAAAAAGTCCAAGGTTGGAATCTTGAATGCAACAAAGGAAGTTAGCATAGCATAGAAATCATTATAGGGATATTCACAGAGATAATTTAGGTAGATTCTAAACCTTGAAAACACTAATTCAAAAAAATATTAAGAGTACACAATACCAAGCAAAAGAGCATTTAAAGACAATGGGGTCAAACTTTGGGGTTTTCAGTGAATCTTCATTTACTATAAGACAAAACAGCGTGAAGGTAGTAAGATGATAAAACACCCTTTTGATTTACTCTTTCATCTTTAGTTATTGTTCAGCCCTTTCCTTCTAATCCTTCTACACATACACTCAAAGAGAATTTTTCCAGCTTGACTTCTTTTTGTCTTCATCATAGTTGATCACGAATCTACAGTTGATTCTGTTCACTACTCCCTCCTAAAGAATCCTCTTTGCTTGACCATCTTGACTTTTCAGGTTTCTGGTTTTCCTACCATTAACATTTAATAATAGCTAACTTTTATATAACATACTGTATATCACTGTTCTGAGTGTCCTACAAAATTTAAATCATTAATGCTCACTTCAACACTAAATGTAAGTAGTATTACTACTGCCATATTGCAGGTATGGAACCTAAATGGCAAAGAGGTTAAACAGCTTGCCCCAGGTGATACAGCTAGAAAGTATCACAGTCATGCTTCAAACTCCGTTATCCATGCTTTTAACCACTATTGTATATTCCCTTTCTGGCCATTCTTAATCTCCTTTGTGGATTTCTGTTACTCGGCATACCCATCAAATGTTGGTGTTCCTTAGGGATCTTCCTATTGCTTTTTTCTCCCAGCCTTGTTCTGGTGACTCTGTTTACTCTTTGACTTCAATTACCTTTTTTTTTTTTTTTTTTTTTTGAGACAGAGTCTTCCTCCATTGCCCAGGCTGGAGAGCAGTGGCACAGTCTTGGCTTACTGCCACCTCTGCCTCCTGGGTTCCAGTGATTCTCCTGCCTTCCCAAGTAGCTGAGACTCTAGACATGCACCACCATGTTTGGCTAATTTTTGTATTTTTAGTAGAGACAGGGTTTCACCATGTTGGCCAGACTGGTCTCGAATTTCTGACCTCAGGTTATCTACTTGCCTCAGACTCCCAAAGTGCTGGGATTACAGACATGAGCCACCATGCCCGGCCGACTTCAATTACATTTTTGCTGATAGTCCACAAATCCGTATCTGTAGCAGAGATCATTCTTGAGTTTCAGACATATATCTACAACTCTGTCCTGAACATCTTCCACTTGTATATCTTAAGCACCTCAAAGTCAGCATGTCTAAAATCTGCATTTATCCTCTTCTTACCCTCCATAGTATTCCATTTGTTCAGTGAATGCCATCATCCATCAAGCTGACCAAACCAGAAATCTAAGCTTCATACTAGACCCACTTTATCTCTCTGACATCAATCAGGTGATACATGATTAGGTCTTATATTAAAGCATTGATGGAAATGAATGGGACTAATAGATGGTGGGAGAGCCTGGCATACCAATTGGTAATTTGACAAACACTCCTCTTCCCCCGACACAATGGAATAGGACATACAGACAAATTATCTCACAGTGGATGGGATATATAAACAGGTGGAGGAATATATAATACATAGAGAAAAAGCTTATAAAAATGAGTAATCTTGAAAGTAGTTGAATAATGCATTTACACTGAGAAGTTTTGGGGGAAAATGGCTTCAGAAGTGAGGGGGATAAATTACCAATTTTTTGAATTCTAAGGTATATATGCTTTTCCATACATTTTAGCATCTTTAAAATTGGAATGGTGGCATCTTCAGTTTTTGGTGAAGCTTTTTTTTTTTTCCTTAGGGATACATAAAATAATGCTGCATCTTAGAGTTATGGCATCTTAATTTTGATAAAATATGGTGGTTTTAGTTGGATAGCATTTGTCTATATTCCATTTTTCAAACTGAAATAAACATAACTGCTCATAATCCTTCCTTCACAAATTGTTTCCAAGCATAAGGACTGTGGTGTTTATGCATGATGCACAAAGGGAAACAGCAAAGGATTCTAGAATCTACTTAAATTGCATCAACTAGTGTTACTAGTATATATGGGTGATAGTAAAAAGTAGTTGGTGATTTCCTAAGAGTGGTAGATCTAAAGTGGTGTAGAATTCTCATATACAAATAAAATTAAAATCTCTCCGAGTGTAACGTACTACTACTAATAATTGAATTCAACTTTTTTCACTTCCAAAATAACTGCGATGAATGAGTATTGCTACTTTTATTTTGACTTAGAATTCAGTTGTATGTTGCCTTTTTTCTTTCTTTTTTTTTTTACAGGTAGCAGATATCAAGAGAGTTAACAATCTCATCAGTGATCAAGACTTTTTTGCCCTTAGGTCTATCAAAATTCCAGTAAAAAAGTTCAGTTCCTTGACTGAAACACTTTGTCCTCCAAAAGGAAGACAGACTTCACGTCATTCATCTGTTCAATACTCTTCTGAACAACAGGAACTTTTGCCAGCTAATGATTCTCTTTCTTACAGTGACTCAGCTGGTAGCTTTTTAAAAGAAGTAGACCGAGACATAGAACAAATAGTAAAGTGTACAGACAATAAGAGAGAGAACCTCAATGAGGTAGTATCGGCCTTAACAGCACAACAGATACGTTTTGAACCTGATAACAAAAACACTCAACGTAAAGATCCCTATTATGGAGCAGACTGGGGAATAGGGTGGTGGACAGCTGTAGTGATAATGTTGATAGTAGGTATAATAACACCAGTGTTTTATTTATTGTATTATGAAATTTTAGCTAAAGTGGATGTTAGTCATCATTCAACAGTGGATTCTTCACATTTACATTCAAAAATCACACCACCATCACAGCAGAGAGATATGGAAAATGGAATTGCTCCAACTAAAGGAATACACTTTGGCCAACAAGATGATCATAAACTGTATAGTCAAGATTCTCAGTCACCTGCTGCTCAACGTGAAACATAGCAATTAGCTCATAATCAAATGTTAGTGATCACGTGCATCTGGAATGTGGTGAATCAGTTATATCCAATAATCGCTTCAAAGGCAGAATTTAGAGAGATTGAGGATGCTTTTGTTTTTAACAAAAGGGTTTTGTTTTTAACCCCTTAATTTTGTTTTTAACAAAATTTTCATACTTTGAAAACTTTTGAGCAACTAGTTGTTCATGTTAAGAGCAGTTGATCCATAAATCTGGTGTGTCAATGTTTCAAGCACAAGTGAATTTAAACGTGTGTTTAGGAAGTTCTTAACTTGTAAGATGTATCATTTTTCTTAAAATGTATGCTTAAATTTTATTTTTTTAGTAATTTTTTAAAAGCTTATTCATGTTAAATTTATGATGCAGAATGATAGCATTAGGTGACTGCAATTGAAAAAAATTTACTACTTTGAACCCCCAAAATATTCAGTTGCAAGAATGTTTGATTCTAAAAGTATTCATGGTAGCATACCTAACACACCACTTTGAAACTTTTAAAAAATACACTTAGCACATGTGCTGTGAAAGCATATGTACAAAGAGAAAGGGGAAGGTAAATTATAATTCCTACAACAGAGGCCAAGAAATGAAATATTTTAAAGACCCCCAAAATAACATGTTATGGTTGGGAAGTCAGCAAAACACTGGACTAGGCGAATACCTAACAGTAATTTTTGTCTTAAGAATGCTTTCTCCAGGACAGACCCTTTAACCTCACCTCTGTGCATCTGTTTTTAAAGTGATTATATTTGCCTCTGATATCTGAAAGCACTTTTATAGTTTTGATGATGAAAAATACATTAAACATATACCTATTGCCATTATTTAGGAAATAATTTCTTACATACTGTGATAAATCATTGCTGTTACATATAGTAACATGCCTTAATTACATTTAATGCCTTACTGTTTTTTTAAGTAAATAGAATTAAAATTAAGCATTATTTCAGATGGTCCAATAAGATTTGTTACATAGGCTATACAAATTTGTCTCCACTTTGACCATCGAAGCACAAATAATTGGGTCAAAACTGCCTCTGAGGTCTGTTGAAGAAAATGGCTCATTAAGCAAAAACGAGTAAAGTTATTTTGTATTAGCAGTGACCAACAAATTATTTAGTAATCCCTTAACCTCTGTTTTTCAGAGAGAAAATATCCAATTTATACTTTTTACCTGAACAATATATATAGCATCAAATTGGGAAACAAAGGCCAAAGGTGTATAGATTGCTTGAAAGGGCATGATATGCCTCTTTTTAAGATCTGTTGAGTCAGCTACAGTCTGGCTAAGTAAGAAGCATTTGCATACTGATTCCATCATTTAATCTTTAAAAGTATGTGTTTTAAAAATGTAACCAGAATGATTCTTCAATAGAAAGGAGATTTGGTGGAGTCTGGATTGCCTGTTTTGTATATAATAAAGTATATACTTAAGATATATAATACCACCTCATTTTCTGGGCATTATTTCCTAATTGTTGATGTTTCAAGCTTTTGATCAGTCATTTTATATATTTCAAATTTCAATCTTGATACAAAGTAGCATGAATAAATAAATATTCATGGCAAATAGAGTTTTATATACTTTCAGGAAAAGAAGAGTCAAACATTAAAGCCCTTGCAGATATTAGAGGACCTTAGACAATTACCAAAAAGTATTTAATAGGGAAGTTGCAAATTGATTCTTTTGGTAAATTAATCATTTAAAAAATTGTTTTAATGTGCCTTCAGCATCTTGAAGAGTGTGATATAATTTATGCTCAGTGTTAACTGGCCAGTTTACATTGTATTTATTAAGCCTGCTGAAAAATGAGGTTTTAAGGAAGAATATGCAGATTATTTTAGGGTAAACAGGCCAGGTGTCATTTGAAGAACTTTGTTTACATCAAATTGATGAAATTATAGTCTGATTCCTTTTTTGCTAGTTGTACTTTGAAATTGTTATGAGTTTGATTTCCAAAATACATAATTTATTTTTAAAAAAGGAATAAGGTGTGCTGTGTACTTGTTGATTAAAAATCATTTGTCTTGCAGAGTATCCTTTTCGAAGGAAATATACATCCTTATAACACAATCAGACAGGTTTTTTCTATATTTAAATTATATTTTTTACTTAATTGAATATAATTTGAATTACATGTAATTCTATATAAAGGTTACATATTGAATTATGGTTCTAAGGTTTTGAAAAGAAAATAATTTTCCAAGCATTGAATACATTTGGAATAATTTTAGTTTCTAAAAAGTACTAATGTAAGTTGGTATCAAATGCACATTACCTTGTATAACTAATTGACAAGCACAGTTATTGTTTAACATTGTGGATTTTGTGTTGACACCCTTATTTGAATTTGCAGCTTTACATGTGTGTCTGTGTGTGTGCCTACGTGCACAGATGCACTTGTATGCAGTGTAAAAGTAACAACAGAATCATTGCATTTGGTTCACTAAAATTTGGGAGTTGGCAAATAAAGAAAAAGCTGATCGTTTTATGAAGTCTGCGTTAAAATAAAGTTATGGAGTTCATGTTTTCAAAGATATGTTAAAATGGTTACAGACTCTGCTGGCCACATTAAAAATTAGAAGACTCATGTTAAATTATTTTCTCCAAAGGACTTATTTACATCTTTTCTTTTTCTGGGTTCTACCTGCTTGTTTCAGTGTCCTGAAGAGTTCTTTAAATGAACCACTACTTAGTTCTTTTTTAAAGTATCTACTTCTAAAATTACCTAGTTGGAAATATGAAGGATACAGTTAGTTTTGGAAATATGAGTAAAGGATCCAGTCAGTGTTACACGGTAAAGGTGGAGTTTTTTAAAGTCTTTATTTAAATGGTGCACTGATGGGATTCATTCTTAATTTGAGTTACAAAAATGTTGCTCAGGTAATCAGTATTTTCTTCCACGTATGTGCATATTGCACTGTTAGATCATGGAAATATCTGAAAGCTTTAATTTTTATGTATGCAAAATCTATAAATCTTTTGTATAATATATTTTATACAAATGTAACTGTAGAACATGTTAGCATGTACATCTATAAAACCAGTTTTTAAAGTTTCTTGCCCCTTATTTTTCATATTTTGAAAGATCTGCAACATGTAATAAAGTTTCTATTACTCAATCTGGAATGGAAGCCAGTGAATTTAATTGAATAAAGCAAACGTTTTCTCCTCCACTTTCAAACTATCTAATATAGGGATATTATGTAAGATATAACAGATTGACAGAGGTTTACCAATTCAGATTTCCCACTTGCTACAGTGAAGCAAAATACCCTGGATTATTTGTAAGACATAGATAAAACATTTTAAATGAATGTTCTTTGGGGGATTTTCCTCAGGGTAAGATCTGGTAACATGTGGTCCAGGAATTGCTATGAAGTTGTAGATCAGTCATTATCTACAGATTATAACCTGCTCTATTTATACATAAATTTTAATTTATTATGAAACAAAAAACTCCAACAATACTGTTTAAAAGATTATTAGCAGAAAAATTGAGAAGGTTCTTTGGAGCTTTTATTTATTTAATGGAGGAATTTGTATAATCCCTATGGTTTTCGATTTTAAAATGCATCTTGACATTAAAATTATGTTTTTAATAAAATGGAAATTTTTACTACAGAGGTTTTGTTTTTAATTTTGTTTTTGAGACAGGGTCTGGGTCTGTTGCCCAGGCTGGAGTGCAGTGGCATGATGGTTCACTACAGCCTTGAACTCCTGGGGCCAACTGATCCTCCCAGCTCAGCCTCCCGAGTAGCTGGGACTACAGGCACATGCCACCACACGGGCTTGAGATTTTAACCATGTAAAAGCAAAGCCATTGACACTGGACATGTGAAGGTAGTGAAGTGGATTTAACAAGAATCTGAATGTCTTAACATTCTCTGGTATCCAGTATAAGTCGGCCCAAGTTCAAATGATCACACTAAATTATATTGCCTGCCAAATCTCTTAAGTTTGTTATCACAAATTTGTGTGTGTGTATGTGTCTCGATTACCACCTTGGCTCACTGAAGCCTCAAACTCCTGGGCTCAAGCAGTCCTCCCACCTCAGCCTCCTGAGTAGCTGGGACCATAGGCACAGACCAGCATGCCCAGTTCACAGCCTTTTTAAATAATCATTACCCAGAGTTTTGTTGTTTGTGGTGATAGTTTATTCAAGAATATTTGTAATAGGCATCCCTGCTCAATAGACAGTTGCTAGGTAAGATCTGTATTAACAAATTAGTTTTCTTTACCAAATATACATTTAAATAAGTTCAAAATAAAACATCTTACTATAAAACAAAGGAACACAATTTTGGAAGAATATGTAAACAAATACAGAAAAATAAACATTATAGTAACCAAACAGTTTTGCTCATGATAGCAATTTTAAAGACACTTCAACAACTACTTTTATTTAAGAGGCTATCTCTGCAAAATAAAATTCACTTTCCTATGGAATAATTTCACAGTCTCAGATTTTAAACCAGGAAAATGAGATTCATGCTGGTAAAGCAACCTGCAAATCCTGCTTGTTGTCACAATTAACTTTAACATTGTACAAGGAAGGCTCTTAAAGGGGATAGCTGGTGACCCAAGGGGCTACCCTGCTATCTGCAAGACTAAAATTGTCATGACAAATTCAAAGCTAAAAAAAGAAATGACCTTCAGTGTATTTGCCTGGTTCAAGTGGTTATATGCAGATTTATAATAAGTAGGTAAACAGAACAATATTGATAAGATTTCTGAGAACTAAATAGTATTTAGTTCTGGTACTAAGGTGGTGAGAGAATAAAACACCTGTGTTAATTATCAACCCCAAATGACAACTTTATATGTGGTCTCTATTCTAAGGCTTATTTTATTCACGTATTCCATTTATTATCTTAAATTTGTTTTACAATTTCCTTTAAACAAGAAATAATTCACAAATGGTTAATACAGCACTAAACTAATAATATAGGTACTCACACCCACCTTGAATTATTTAAGAAAGTATTGCCATTGAAAGTGATCTTTAGGCCGGGCGCGGTGGCTCACGCCTGTAATCCCAGCACTTTGGGAGGCCGAGGCGGGTGGATCACGAGGTCAAGAGATCGAGACCATCCTGGTCAACACGGTGAAACCCCGTCTCTACTAAAAATACAAAAAATTAGCTGGGCATGGTGGCGCACATCTGTAGTCCCAGCTACTCGGGAAGCTGAGGCAGGAGAATTGCTTGAACCCAGGAGGTGGAGGTTGCAGTGAGCCGGGATCACGCCATTGCACTCCAGCCTGGGTAACAAGCAAAACTCTGTCTCCCAAAAAAAAAAAAAAAAAAGAAAGTGATCTTTTTCCTGAGAAACTCATGTTGCAAAATGGTACAAGACAATACACATTTTCTCCAATTTTTTGTATGAATACAAGATAGGAAAATCAAATTATATTTTGTGAGGAAAACATGTTTCTCAAAATTGTGTTTTCAGATACTTCCCAAACTATAAATTTTTAGAGGGTGAGAACCAAATGTAAATTAAGAAGTCATCTTTAAAGAGAATAAATACATATAGTGAATTTTGGTTAGTGTTTAAACAACTTTTATAGGAAATTGTGTACAAGTGGAGAAACTAAGGCACACAAACAACCACGCTCAGTTTCAAGGTTGAGTTTAATAGTACAGGTAGAAATAGAATCTAGGGATCAGATTCTCACATTTCAGGTTAATGATATCTTCCCAAAGGGGAAAAATAATTTCTTTTGGTAGATAACATTGATAAATCATTTTTCAAATATATAATATGAATTTCCTTGAAAATCTTTGGCATTTGTGAGAGTCTTTGTAGGCTAAGGTTTTTAGGCATTTTTTTCCCCAAAAATATATAAAGTTGGGGGAGCTAGCTTTAAAGTTAAACAAAAAAATTAATCTTAATTTCAAAATGACCTGAGTTCATTTTGCATTTATATAAATCAAATGTACAACTTGAGTACTCTGAAACATAAAAGGCCACCATACTTCAGAGTTTACACATATGCATTCTACAGTGATATTTATATGACCAGAACTTATTTCACACTTACATAAAGGATAAAATAAAATGTCTTAGTCAAGTTTTTCATAAGGCCAACTATTTGAAGATGTCCAAGTTATTACAGTGGGATGATTAATTTATATATCATATAGTATCAAGTGAGTCCCAAATTCAAGTATTTATAATATTCACCCCATGTGAAAGTTTCTTTGTACTGGCTAAGATGTGAGCTGTGAACTTGATATTGCTCAGTTTGGTATTTTTCTCTGTGTGTATGTTTTCCATCACAAAACCTCTATCTCACAATTCTGCACTTGTAAGAGCTCAGGTTTATGTAGTCAAAATGCAGTAGTGTATGTAACATACTGTGTAAAAGTAAAAGCTAAAATTCTTTTCAAGTTTCTTTGTTTTTAAAGTGCTCCATGTGCTGTTATCTCAACTTTCAGGTTATAGAAATTCATTATGACTAGCAATAGTTCTATAAAAGATCAGCAGTTAAGCAAGAATGATTTCAAGTACGTATACACAGATTAAGAGAGCATAAATTCTTTAGGCACATTCATATTCAAATATCAAAAAATCCACGAGAGTATAGTACATAAGAGAGATGGCAGAGGTGTTTAGAAGGAATGTCAGAGTGTCAGGGACTAATTTGTAAGGTAACTAGTATGTAAACTCAAAGTGGTTCTGCATATTTTGGTAACAAATATTTGTCCAAAAAAACAAAAACATAAATACTTATACCTTATCAGAAATAAAATACAAAACAAGTCTGTCCAAATGTTCAGAAGCTGCATCATAAAAATATTTTTTGAAAAATTTCATGCCTAATAGGTTGCTTCATCCATGTTGTCATCACTGTCTGCGCCAAAGTCATCTCCATCATCAAAGTATGAATTAATGTAGTCATTTTCCTAAGTGAAATGATATATTCCTTTGTAAACATTATAATGAATGAGTAGCAAGAAAATACATCATGCTTAAAAGTCTCTGCTTTTATCTGCTTCAAAAACACAACAGTTTTCACTCGTGTTTACCTGTGCCGCTTTCTTCCTTAAGACCACCACCTCCTACCCTTCTCAGGCTAAGAGAACATGAAGCGTTGCACATACCATCTTAATAGGATAAAATAGCTACTAACACATTACAGCTTACTAGGATGATACATAGTTTAGTTAGCTAAACCACTAAACACTTACCCTACAAAATGCAGACACTCAAGAAACAAAGCCCGTTTACATTAACATCCATTAGACTACACCAGTACTGAGATTTTTATTCACAAAGCATAACTAAGCATAAGCCAGAGAGACTTTTGCTTCCCCTCGTCCCCCCAAAAAAAGGCCTCATGATACCAAAGCAAATCTAAAAGATGCCTATATTAAGATGCCTATATTATATTCTATCCAAGGCTTCTTAATTTCTTTTTCTTGTGGCTGAATAAGACTATCATCCATGTAAATAACTCAGAAAATATCTGTGCTTTCTACCAAAAATTCAAAATCTCACTTTCTTATTTATTTTTCTGGGCCTCCAGTATCTTGCAATAAAAAATCCATTTTCGGTATAAATTAAGCCTAAGAGTTATTAATCAGTTGCAATGTATGGATTGTATTTGGATTCTGTTTGAAACAAACAAAAAAACTTTTTGAGACAACCAAGAAAATTCAATACTGGCCTGATAGTTGACGAAATTAAGGAACTATATTTCTTATAATTTATAATGTATAGGGTGTTATAATGATACTGTGACGTTGTTAAAGAGCCCTTATTTTTGGATCCATACTGAAATATTCGTGGATAAAATGACATTATGCCTAGGATTTTCTTTATAATCCAAGGCACATGGGGCATGGGAAATAGGGTGGGTGAACAGGGAGGGACTGGGTAGATGAATGAGTGGTTGAAAGATTAGCGATGAGTTGATCATTGTTAAAGCTGAGTGATAAGACCATGTGGCTGTTTCTTTTACTAGTTACTACATTTTTGCACTTGATTGAGATCTGCTTTAATAAGAGATTAATCTCTACATCTCTACTATCTATAGTAAGAAATACAGATTATTCTCAAAAGATAGTCTCCTATCAATTTTATTATTTTTCCAAATATTTTTTTCTTAGTATCTGGATAGTG